CCATCAAGGAATGAGTTGGAGGGATGAGTCGAGCAGTGATTTTTGAAAACATCCAGCTCGTGGTTGATTTGCTCCAAATGTGAACGTGAGCTGACTTACATAATGGGTCGAGCCGTGTTCGATGATAGAGGAGCAGAGCTACTCGACTGATTTAACATTCCTGCTCGACTTTCCAAACATTGCCTTCCTACAAGAGAAAAGCTTTATTTGTCCCATTTAATTTTGATAAAAATCATATTTTCAATTGATTTTGATAAAAGTAGATGATTCGGCCTTGTTTGAGCCCCCATTTTAAGAGATAGAATGCATTTTAAATAGTGATTGATGGAGAATGTATGGTTAAAAATTATACTAAAAAAATTGAGTTTGTGTGTGATATTGTTTTATTAAAGAATACGTGGTTAAAAATGAGTTTTGAAAAATAAATTTTAACAAAACGAGGCTAAAACAAGGGCGATATATGTGATTTAAAAGTTAATAAAATTGTGAATCTCATGTACGTATTTAAAATAAATTTTGAAAAATCGACAAAAACAAAACCATTTGGACAAGAAAAAACGAAAGAAACCTGTAACACTCACCAATCAGTCTCCTGGGGGTCGTCGTTCAAATTGAACGGCTTTTTTCCGAGCAAACGAAAATGGCGGCCGCAAGAGTTATAGCTAACTCCATCACCTCCACTTTACTCTCCAAATCCCCATTGAGAGGGAAAACTCAAATCCTAAGCCTTTGCTTTAAAAACAGCTCATTATTGGTGCAGAAAAGACAGCTCTTCACTTGCAGTGCTATCCCTCTAGAAGGGAAATACATGAAAATGACCTAAAATAAAGAGGGCATTTTTCAAAATAACATTTGACTTAATTAGATACCTAAAATATTCGTCCTTTTGAATATTGCATAACAAGTTAATATAATATAGAAATCTTGCATTTTAGTCCTTAAAATTAAATATTACTTGATTTTCTATAGATTTATTGTTTTTAGATTTATTTGATTTTTTATATTTATTTGATTTTTGTTCGCTCAAAGTAGCCCCCTAATTGGTATCAGAGTCATAGAGATCATAAGAAAACACATAAGAAATAGATTATCTGAAGAAATAAAAATCTATAGATTTAGGTTAACAATTAGATTTTATATAAATTTAATAAATAATAGATTAATTATTATAAAGCTAAAGGAATATTTTGATTATACATCTTGAAAATAATAATTAATTACAATATACAAATATTTATATTTACATTTTGATAAAAGCATAGAGATCATGGAAATTAAAATAAGAAAAATAGATAATTATTATAAATTAGAAGAAGGAAGAGGAAGTTATATATTTTTAAAACCTATTTCTAATAAATTAAAAATAATGACATTAACAATAGTTAAAGATATTCCTAAAGAAATAAAAGAACAAATATTAGAAAAATTAATAATAGGATTGATAAAAGAAATATATGTGTATGAAAAATTATTAAAGAATATGAAGATGAAGAGATTAATTTATATTATAAAGAGAAATATGAGTGTAAGTGATAATACAAATTTAAAATTAAATAAATTACTCATAAAAATGGAAAAAATACAAGAAAAAATACGAGATATAATGTTAATATTAGAAGGAATAAGAGTATCAAATAAAAAATATTTGATAAAATTACAACGTTAAAGATTAAGACTTGAGAGTAAATATTTCAGTATAGTAAAAAAAGAATTAATAGATCCAAATACAGCCAACAGAAGATTTGGAAAAATAATAGATAAAAAAGAAGATAAAAGATGTAAATTAACTTATATGTTAGAAAGATGATTTTAATATGTCAATACACTACAAGAAATTTATCCTTTCCCCATAAAATTTCCTCCAACAAATTGAGATTCGTAGGCAAAGTTCACTTATCCCCACAAAACAATATTTTCTAGGGCTATGATTTATTTCAAAATTGTCAATATTAGAAAGACTTGTGCCAACAAAATTTTGTACTTTTTCTTGACAAAAAATTTGACGGGAAAAATATATCTTTTATTGATAAAAAATTTAGACATATTTGTAGGCTAATGAGTAACAAGAAAATTTTTTAATTACTATTTTTAATTTTAAGGATTAAGCTAGACGTACAAATGAGGACTTACAGAATCTCTACAGAATTTCAAAATTTGGTCACGTGTCAGTGTGTGGGTTCAAGGAAAAGGAAATGACTGCTGACGGAAAAGGCACGGAATTGTTGGCTTGGAGGAAATTATCTAATAAATTCATCAAATTACTTATGGTTTTTGTCTTCATTTTCGGACTCATCACGAGTTATCAAATGAACTTGAAATGTTAAATTCTTAATATTATTTTAAAGTACTCACGGCCTAGTATTTGACATAGTTAATGGTACGCGAAACGGTCAATCGTAACAAATGTTACGGCTCGTCAAAGTAGGCTACTTCAAACTAATATTTCGAGAATTTCGATAATAAGCTAACTTTGAAAATTTTTCTACGATTGTACCCTAGTCGAATCCATAAATCTTCTATATCTTCTTGAAACTCATTTCGAGAACTATATCATAGACTCATCGAATGATCTAAATGAATAATGAAAATAGTTAAACGTACGTCAAACGTGTGTGTCAAAAAAACGTATATTTCGTCTTTTTTAAGAAAAAATCAATTATTTTATTAATGTTTATTATTTTTGCTCGAAAAATTTCTCAATATAATTTATATCATTTTATTAGCAAATTTTATATATGATATGACATCAATTTTTTTTGGACGTATTTTGAGCACGACTTTTTCTTGTCCAAGTGTATCTTGTCTTTACCACGAATCATTTTCCTTAGTTAACAATAATTGTTATTTTGCCAATATCTGGGTTCCTTAATTTTCTTTCTTCCATATAGAGGAAATAAGGTAATTCGTTGGTATACTATATGTATATCACAGACCAAGAATACGAGATCACCCCTTGTCCAAAAAAAAAAATTAAAAATTGACGTCATACCATATATAAAATTTACTAATAAAATGATATAAATTATATTGAGAAATTTTTCGAGCAAAAATAATAAATATTAATAAAATAACTGATTTTTTTCTTAAAAAAGACGAGATATACGTTTTTTTGGCACACACGTTTGACGTACGTTTAACTATTTTCGTTATTCATTTAGATCATTCGATGAGTCTATGATATAGTTCTCGAAATGAGTTTCAAGAAGATATAGAAGATTTATGGATTCGACTAGCGTACAATCGTAGAAATTTTTTTAAAGTTAGCTTGTTATTGAAATTCTCGAAATATTAGTTTGGAGTAGCCTATTTTGACGAGCCGTAATGTTTGATACGATTGACCGTTTCATGGACCATTAACTATGTGAAATACTAGGCCATGAGTACTTTCAAATGATATTAAGAATTTAATATTTCGATTTCGTTTGATATCCCGTAATGAGTTCGAAAATGAAGACAAAAACCATAAGTAATTTGATAAATTTATTTGATAATTCCCTCCAAGCCAGCAGTTCCTTGCCTTTTCCGCCAGCCATCATATCCTTTTCCGTTCACTCACACACTGACACGTGACCAAATTTTGAAATTCTGTAGAGGTTCTGTAAGTCCTCTCCTGTACGTGTAGCTTCATCCCAAACGAAATCGAAATATTAAATTCTTAATATTATTTGAAAGTACTCATGGTCTAGTATTTCACATAGTTAATGGTCCATGAAACGGTCAATCGTATCAAACGTTACGGCTCGTCAAAATAGGCTACTCCAAACTAATATTTCGAAATTTCAATAACAAGCTAACTTTAAAAAAATTTCTACGATTGTACGCTAGTCGAATCCATAAATCTTCTATATCTTCTTGAAGCTCATTTCGAGAACTATATCATAGACTCATCGAATGATCTAAATGAATAACGAAAATAGTTAAACGTACGTCAAACGTGTGTGCCAAAAAAACGTATATCTCGTCTTTTTTAAGAAAAAAATCAGTTATTTTATTAATATTTATTATTTTTGCTCGAAAAATTTCTCAATATAATTTATATCATTTTATTAGTAAATTTTATATATGGTATGACGTCAATTTTTAATTTTTTTTTTTGGACAAGGGGTGATCTCGTATTCTTGGTCTGTGATATACATATAGTATACCAACGAATTACCTTATTTCCTCTATATGGAAGAAAGAAAATTAAGGAACCCAGATATTGGCAAAATAACAATTATTGTTAACTAAGGAAAATGATTCGTGGTAAAGACAAGATACACTTGGACAAGAAAAAGTCGTGCTCAAAATACGTCCAAAAAAAATTGATGTCATATCATATATAAAATTTGCTAAAAAAATAATGTAAATTATATTGAGAAATTTGTCAAGCAAAAATAATAAACATTAATAAAATAATTGATTTTTTCTTAAAAAAGACGAAATATACGTTTTTTTGACACACACGTTTGACGTACGTTTAACTATTTTCATTATTCATTTAGATCATTCGATGAGTCTATGATATAGTTCTCGAAATGAGTTTCAAGAAGATATAGAAGATTTATGGATTCGACTAGCGTACAATCGTAGAAAAATTTTCAAAGTTAACTTATTATCGAAATTCTCGAAATATTAGTTTGAAGTAGCCTACTTTGACGAGCCGTAACATTTGTTACGATTGACCGTTTCGCGTACCATTAACTATGTCAAATACTAGGCCGTGAGTACTTTAAAATAATATTAAGAATTTAACATTTCAAGTTCATTTGATAACTCGTGATGAGTCCGAAAATGAAGACAAAAACCATGAGTAATTTGATGAATTTATTAGATAATTTCCTCCAAGCCAACAGTTCCGTGCCTTTTCCGTCAGCAGTCATTTCCTTTTCCTTGAACCCACACACTGACACGTGACCAAATTTTGAAATTCTGTAGAGATTCTGTAAGTCCCCATCTGTCCGTCTAGCTTAATCCATTTTATTAACACCCAAAATCGAAACCCCACATAACCCAGCAAACCCATGTAATTATGGTTTCCACTATTGTCGTCTTTTTCCTCAATACCTTTGCCTGCAAATTCTTTTTCCTCAAAATTAATTCCCTTCCTTGCCGTTTTCCACTCTTCAAATTGCCTCCAAAAATTTTCCCCCAAAAATATTCATTAACTCTGTTTGCCGCTTCTTAATTGGTCCAAACCTAATTCAAAATTTTCAATTGAAGCATCATCTCGTCAACAAATTATGGCTTAATCGACAGGTTTCAGTGTTATTCTTCAAGCAGTCTTCTAGGTATGCCCATCAATCCTATCTATTTTTTGGTTTAAACAGGTGAATTTACTTCATTCTATATGCGCACATCTCGATTGTTAGGTATACTCATTCTTGACCACTTTTAAATGAGATTGGTATTTGGTTCGTGTGCAAGGGGAATAGAGTAGCCCATCAACTTGCTTCTTTCGTGTGCAAGGGGTATAGAAATATCATTTAGGTCTTAGTCTCGCATTGTTTGCTAATATCTGATGTTGCAGATGCACAAACATTTATTTGTCTTTGAAAGAAAAGTGATTATACCTCTTGATATATGTTGCTACAGAATCATAGAAGTTATGTGGTTAAGTGAAAAGAAGATTAGCTAATTGTCGTTTGAGTTTGTCTACCTAATGAGATTTGGTTTTGAGAAGTAGCAAAACAATAGGCTAAAAAGCTTTTTGTGTAGGAAGCCTCAGTTAGAGACAAGTATTAATATGGGGATTGATCTAATTTATTTAAGGTTTTGGGAGGTCGATGAGGAGATGTTCATTAACCGTTGCACATGTTGAAAATTTGCTTGGTAAGGTCTGTAGGAGAAAATTGGTTGGACTTATATCTGAGACGTGGGAACTAAAGTAAATTGGTTTGAAGGTATCTTGGTGAATTTAGCTAAACTTGAAAAAGAATGATGATGGAAGTTAAAGAAATTTAGGGACCATTTCCAGGGTTGGAATTCATCACATCATCTTAATAACTCTTATTGCTCTGCGAAGAAATACGATTTTGTAATCTTCCTTGTTCTGTGAAGACATCATGTCTATTTATGAGCTCCGGTGACATGACATCCTAAAGCAACTTTAGCATATATACCCAAGTAATACAAACATTTTTACTTTTAATTCAACTTGTAGATATCAACATGACTTGTAAACTTAATAAGACCTAAATTAAGTATTTTTAATTACAATTGTGAATTTTATCATTGTGCCAATATGATTTCTCCTTTTTCTTTTGGGAGAAAATAAAATATGAATTATGCTTCTATTGCAGTTGTTGCTAAGCTTTTTGAGCTAGATTCATTTAGAATTAGGTTCGAAGTTAATTAATGAGTTTTCTAGTTCTTAATGTGAATTGACTACCTAGTGTGATTTGTTCTTGTAGAAGCGTGTTTAGAATTTTTAGAGCTAGTACACGATCTAAATGAAGTTGCGAACCTGCAAGAGAGGATAAGTTGCTGCAGGCCTGGAGAAAGATTGTATGTTGGAGTTTATGCATAAATTTGATAATGTGCTGTAAATTTTATTTTTTACCATTTTAATTTTAGAATGGTCATGACTTTGACATTTTTTCCACTGCCTCTTTATTTAATATTTTGTAACTTACCATGTACTATATTATGTTCGTACGAGTTCGTGACAGGTTGGGTGAACAGGTTTGCACATGCTGGTGATTCTGCTGTTGAAATAGCAGAAAGCACAGCTTATATCCTCATGTTTATTTTAGGTCTAATCTTTTATTGTATTGTTTCTCAATTGAATAGAAAGTTTTAATTTTTAGTTAAAACATCTTGTAGGGGCTGGACAAAGAGTTTTTGATAAAAAAGCTTCCTTCAATTCAAATTGCAACAAGGTAAGTTCGTAAATCTAAGTACACCATCATCAAGTTTTTTGGCAGTGTATGTGTCCACATACAAAAATAAATACATACATATGTATATGTATATATTTACATATGTATATATTTATTTTTGTTGGTGCTTGATGTATATGTGTTTAGGTATGAGTATATAACTAGCTATTCATAGTAAATGGTGTCAATTTATTTGATTTTCTGTTACTACATCATAAATGGAGGAGACTGGAACTTGTATTTGCAAAAGAGAGTGTGCTGCCTGCATCTTTTAGCCTAGTCAATGAACAAATCTATAAATTTTATCTCTTGCAAATTTTGATTTTGTGGACTATTTTATATATCTTGTTGGTTGTGTTTGTAGGATGAGATGCTTGTCAAAGAGTATGAATATCTTGTAGAGAGGGTCAAAGGAGCAACAAATTCCCGAAGATACCCCTTTGGAGGAGATACTTGTAGATGATCCTGATGTTGAAATTAATATCATGATGTCCGTTCTAGGTACGAAGCTCGGGCATCAAATTCTTGGGTTAGGAGATGGCCGCCTTCGAGACATTGGGATATCTTCTTCTAACATATGCAGTTTGGAGAAGAAGTTGGGAGCAGAATGTGCTGCTTTTAAAGTAGCCAATGCGGCTCGAGTAAACATGGAGCAAAATATGCAGAACAAGCCAAAGGTTGTCGAGCAACAATTCAATTCTACATAACAATCTTGGCATCATTCTATACAACAGTTATGTAGTAAAGTTCCTAACTTCATTGTACCACCATTTATACCATTGTCAATAGAGAATGATGGTAATGAGAAAGATTATGCTATTGAGGATGAAGAGAATAACTTTGGTGAGAATCAGTACATGTCTAATTCACGAGATTGAAGAGTCATGTCTTTTATTTGTATAAAAATAGATATATAACATGTTTGCTCTGCTTATTTTAATTTTAGATGTAATTATACTTGGTGAAACTCATTTATTCGTGTTTTGATGAAATATTTTGGATTCAATGTTGATTGACGTTACGTTTTAATTGATTTATTATGATTTTTGTATTTTTATATTATTTTGAATGAGGTTAAAAAATTAGTATAATATAAATAAAAAAAATATAGAAATAGTTTAATTTCTCCCTACAAATTTTTTTTAATAGCTTACAAATATCCTTTCCCTACTAAAAATTATTTGCAGAAAAACAAGGTTCAGCCCACAAAATAATTTGTTCAACATTGTCACAAACTTTTAATTGTAGGAAAAGATGTTTATATCTTGACCCACAAATAAATTTTCCATACAAAATATTATTTGTGGGGACGAACACGGTTTAGCCCACAAGATAATTTGTAGGGATAAGTGAAATCGCTTCATGTGTAGAAGTAACTTTAGCAGACGAATTATTTGTCGGAGGAAAACTTACACGATGAATTGTATTCGTCTCCAAATGGTTCGTAACGAAAAACCTTAGCCCAAAAACTTCAAAAATTTGTCGTCTTAGACTTATCCCCTAGATGTTTGCCCCACAAACGTGCCTACAAACTTTTTTCGTCTGCAAAGGTATTTTCCCACAAATAATAGCATTTCCCCACAAATAAATTTTATAGGGAAAACATAAAATTCTTGAAGTGATAAGTGAATATATGGAAGAATTAAAGTCATTAATAAAAATGTTAATAAATGATATACAAGATTTAAGAAATGAAGTTAGAGAAACAAGAAACGATATAAATATATTAAAAAATTGAAATTAGAGAATTAAAAGAGAACAATAAAAATAAAGATAAGAAAATGATGAAAAAATTAATAGAAAAAGAAATGATTAGAATAGGAAAGAAATAAATTGAGAAAGAAAATATAGTAATAGAAATAGGAAGTACAGATGATGAATTTAGAAAGAATAAATTACCTAAAATATCAGAAGAAGAAGGATCTAGAGAAAAAATATTAGGAAAATTAAAAATAGAAGAAAATCAAGAGAATAAAGATGAATGAGGAATTAGACTTACTCATAGAAAATTTTGATCAATTAAGTTTAAGTGATATAAGTGAATACCAAATTTTAATGAATACTAGAGGAGGACCTAATCCAATAAGAATTTCTGAACAAGAATTACAAGATTTAGATGAAAGTTATGCACCTATATATAATAAACCCTACAGATAATTTTATGATAAAGTAAGAGATAGACAACCACTTAAAGAAAATAAATATAGAGACATGTTTGAATTAAATGATAATTGTGATAAACCTATTAACCATGGAGGAACAAAATTAGATTTAAATTGCAAAATAGATACTAAAAAATCTTATTAACTTTGGCAGATTCAATGATATTATTCTTTTTATATAATAAAGATACTGAAAGAATAATATATTTCTTAATAGCATCCTTTGAAAGAGATGTTAGAAATTGGTGGGAAGAAATAAGTAATGATACAAAAATATTAATAAAAAGAAATGTACAAACAGAAATAATAAAATCAGATTGATAAGGTATAGAAAAATTAGTAGAATATATTTCAGATGAATTTTTAGGAGAAAATTGGATAAGAAATGCTGAAAAAGAAGAAATAAGAGAAAAAGATAATGCTAGAATTAAACTAATAAATTTAACAATATGTGATATGTGTAAAATTAAAGAATATACTTGTGAATTTAGAAATTATTATTATGTTCAATTTTATAATAATGAGAACCAAAAGTATACCAAGATATGTATTATAATAAATTACCAGGTTCATGGAGAATATATTTTAAAATAGAATTTGAAAAATATGTTAAAGATAATGTTGGAATACCTAGGACTTTAGGTTCAAGAATAAAATTTTTATTTGAAAGATTTGCATATATATGTCAACAAAGACGATTAATGAAAAAATCAGGAAAATTAACTGGAATATGTTGTGAAGATATGGAAAATTCTATACAGTGAGAATATAATCTTGAAAGAAGAGTTAATAAAATAAAATTTAGAAATTTTAGAAATTTTAATAAAAAATATATAAAACTTAGAAGAAGATATTATAAAAGAAAAAATATCTCATATGGTCAACAGAAAAATAAAAGTTATAAGAAAAATAAAAGTCAATGTAAATATTGAAATTGTTGAGAAATAGGTTATATAAGCTCTGATTGTGATAAAAAGAAAGTTAAAATATTATAAAAAGAATATTTAGAAATAAAAGATGAATTGAATGAAATATCAGACATTGAAACATATTATAATCAAGAAGTTTATATAAGTGAAACAGAAGATGGTGAATCAGAATCTAAATAAGGAACTAGAAAGTGATAATATAAATATACATGAATATGAAGGAATAGAATGATATGGATTAAAAGTTACATTTGATAACAATAAATTTAGAAAATTATAAAAATTATCTTTAGATTTAAAAATAAGAAAATTGAAGGTTTTAGATAGAATTTGAAAAAGAGAGAGGATAGCAATAAATGAATATCATAAAATAGAAAAAATCATAGATGTAAGAACAATATATGGACAACATAAATTAAATCTTTTAACCAAAAATATGGTTGAAGAAATATTAATAAAGGTTAGTAAAAAACAAAGTGAAAAAATCCAATATGTTTATTTAATAGGAATACAAATAATGTTTAAATTATTGTTCAGAGAAGGAATAGATTGACCTTTAACTATAACCTTACATGATGGAAGAATAATAAATTTAAAAGATAGCCATTTAGGAACAAAGAAGGAAATCTAGCATATCAAAAAATAATGTTTACTCAAAATATTGTGTATCATTAAAAGATAGAAACTTTAATGAAATTTTAGGATTACATTTTAAATTGCATAGAAATGATATCATGCAACCAGGTGATTAAATTATGACTATAGAGTATAGAGTTTTATATACATTTACCAATTCTAATTATGGAAACACTTATTCCAATAAACCTTATATTAAAATACATAAAGAATGTAAGGATATTAGTAAAATAATAGAACCAAATAAACAAATAAGTTTAATTCCAGAAGAATATGAATTTAGCATAACAAGAAATAAACCTGAAATAACAGAATTAAATGAAGGAGAATGTTCTAATAATATAACATTTAAGGATGAAAAATTAATCAAAAGATAAAAAAGTTTTAGAATACCTAATAAAAACCAATTAGAAGAATTCAATAATATAAAAGAAATAAAACTATATAGGAACGTTGGAAATATGAAAATAGAAGGAGAATATTATAATGGAAGAGAAAATATAAATGGACCAAATATATTAATAGATACAGGAGTTAGTGAATGTCATATAGTTTCAATTAGAAATAAATGATTAATAACCCATAAAACTGATCCATATAAATATGTAAATTTTGATGGACAAGTACATATTACAGATTTGGAAGTCAAGGTACCAATAAAAATATGAGGAATAGATCTTTTAGTACTATGTTATATAGATAAAAGTATGGATATAAACCTTCATATACTTTTAAGAATGAATTTTCTAAATGGATTAGAAGATTATAGTATAAAAAGAGAAAGATTATATATAGTCCATAATGGACAAAATATACTATTTGAAAAAAAAAGAATAATCGGATAAGTTTTCCATTGGCTGTATATATACAAATTACTATTATTGAAACAAATTGTGCTTTAATAGAAGCAGGAAGTGATATAACAATATTTAAAAGATTTTTGATAAAAGCATGGAATGATAATAGTAATATAAAAATAACTGGAGTTACAGGAGAAAGTATCTAGATAATAAATAGTGTTCATAAAGTAGTATAATTTTTGGAAGTAAACAAGTTACAATAAATAAAATTTATAAATATGATAATTTAGAACGTGATATATTATTAGAAAATGATTTTATACAATAATTTCAATATTATAAGCAAAATAATTATATGATAATACTACAAACACCTTGTGAACATTTATTAAAAATTTCAATAGAATTTAGATCTTATAGAGTTCAGCCAGCCCAGCGTGGTGATAAATGAGAGAAAAAACTAATAACATTTAATGAAATAAAAAATAAAAGAATATTGTATAAAAAAGTTTTGAAAATGAGAATAGAAATAAGTATAGAAAAAATTATTGAACAATTAGAAAAAGTTTATGGAGAAAATTCATTGTTATTTTGGAAACCCCATCACCCTAAAGCCAAAATAGAATTGACAGGAAATGTTATAATAAAAGTCAGACCAATGATGTATACCATAGAAGATACACAAGAATTCAAAAATCAGATAAAAGAATTGTTATAACAGAAACTTATTAGACATAGCAACGGATCCATAGTAGTCCAGCCTTTATGGTTATGAAACATTCTGAACAGGAGGAAAAGCTAAAATGGTTATAAATTATAAAGAAATAAATATACTAAATTTGATGGATTTTTTTTACCAAATAAAGAAGTTTTAATAAACCTTGCAAAAGGAAAACAATATTATTCTAAATTTGATTGTAAATCAGGTTTTTGGTAAGTAAGAATGGAAGAAGACAGTATACAATATACTGCATTTAGTACACCTCAAGAAAAATATGAGTTGTTAGTAATGCTATTTGGATTAAAAAATGCACCACAAATATATCAAAGGAAAATGGAAAATGTATTTAAAAAGTTTAATGAATTTCTAATTGTTTATATAAATGATATATTGATATGTTCTAATAGTAAAGTAGAACTAATGAATGATTTAATAAAATTCATAAATGAATGTAAAAAAGAAGGAATTGTATTTTTTAAAAAGAAATCTATAATAGAAAAACAAAAGATAGATTTTTTTGGATTATCAATAGATAAAAAATGAATAAAATTGCAGACTCATATATCTAAAAAGAAAGAAAAATTTTCAAATAAATTAGAATCCAAAGAACAAATAAATTTTTTTTAGAATGTTTAAATTATGCAGAAGGATTTATTGAAAATATTTCTAAGAAAAGGCATAAAATACAAGTTTTATTTAGAAAAATAAATACTAAATGATGGAATGAAGAACATACATAAATAGTTAAATCATTAAAAGAATAATGTAAAAATTTACCAAA